TCTATGTTTAACAATTATACATTTAGTCCAGGGTTTGAAACCTAACCTGGTCTTGGCCCGATCATGAAACTCACATACTTGGGTTTCATGAAACCCAAGGAAAATGAGTTTCATATGTGAGTTTATGAGTTTAACATTCAATTGACATTTATACCCTCATATATCTTATATATCTCATATACACAAATTAGTTAAGGGATACAATAGTCATTTAAATACAAATATATTATCATAATAGTTATTTATCTGTGTGCATGCCAAATATGGGTATGAATAATATTAATTATTGAATCTCATCTTCAAATTAAATTCAAATTTGAACAAATCAATTTGAACCCCTCTCAAAAATTATACAAAAAAAAAACCTAAGAGTTTTTTTCTGACGGCATCCCATACGTACTTTTTTATTTAATTTTTTCGTCTAATTCACTGACAAATAAGGAGTTATCTATGGTATGGGGCAAAAAAAAAGTGGTACGGTATTGATATTTATTACTTTTGTGAGTTTTTTTAATTATTATTATTATTAGATATTTTTATTATTGTTGTGATATAAAAAAAATAGTAATCATAAATAATGATAAAAATACTCATAAAAATAATAAAAATATTTATAAATTTAATAAACCACCAACAAAAATAATAAAAAAATTCACAAAAATTGTAAATCAGTCATAAAAGTGATAATTTTTTTTATACTAAAAAAAAGTGATAAAAATAATAAAGTTTTTATTATAAAATATCCCATAAAAATTATAAAAATATCAATTAAAGTAATAAAATTAGTCGGCAAGTAACAGTACCGAGAACGTAGTCAAGTCCAACAAATAAACATTGATTTCAAAAATTCCAAGTCTTTTAGCATCTCTCTCTCTCTCTCTTAATATAAGTCAGAGTGGGCTACGTACGTACGGCAAATTGTTTTTACTTGTATAAATTATTCTCCAGATGCATATTTGTTCATAGGAATTGTATGATAATTTGCAGAACAGCTTCTTTATCGTCTCGATCAGTCTCTGGAATCTCTATTTCATAGTTCGTTCGTCAAACAATTTTCAGAAACTGTTTTAAGGGTTGTTTTGTTGAAAGAAGGAACGGTGCTTCATGGCCGGAGGTGGCGGAGGAGGGCGTTCTTTGGATGTGACGCCAACGTGGGCCGTCGCTGTTGTCTGCTTTGCGTTGGTTGCTGTATCAATCATCATTGAATATCTAATTCACCTCCTTGGAACGGTATGAGTATCTATCTCTATCTGTTGCGTTGGATCTTTTAATCCACTTTGTTCCTTAACCACTGTTGTGTTCAGTTCGATCAATCATTATTCGTTTTAAAATTAAACTAGGGCTCGATTCATTTAATAAACAAATGAGTCTCAACAAGTTGTTATCTGAATTTCTGCACGAAGAGAATGGCAAAATGTTCAACCATAGACACTTTGTGGTGGCTGTTGCTTGTTTTCTTATCAAGTTGATGATTTCTAATTAAGTTCTTGCATGTACCTTTCTTCAGTGGTTAAAAAAAAACCACAAGCGAGATCTGTACGAAGCACTCGAAAAGATCAAAGCAGGTAATCTTTTTTCTTATCCTTAGGTTCTTGCAATATTCGAATTAAACTAGAAGCTTTTAGATAATGAAATAAAAGAGACTAACTGCCTCTCTCTCTCTCTCTCTCTAGAACTGATGCTGCTGGGATTCATGTCATTGCTGCTAATAGTAGTACAAGGACCCATTTCAAAGATATGTATACCCAGGAGTGTTGGAGCCTCTTGGCATCCTTGTAGGGTAGAGGAAGAAGACGATGAGACAGAAGATGAAAATACATGTGGAGAGGTAAGAAACGAGATATTTTCTGGGTACGTAAATTAATTAATTTTTATTCCAGAAAAAGATATTACGCTGAAATTCAAAACATGTCTCCAAAGGAAGGTACACCATGCAATATCCAAGAATTTCTTGATTTCACTAATCTATTAAAAATTAATGAAACCTCGTGATCCAAGAGACTACGTACACAAAATACAATTAACCCATTACAAATCAAAAGATATTTTTTTGGAGAATCAGGAGTGGCCTAATAGCTCCGCAGACCGGTACAAGGAAAAATTAGCTCTATTGAATTTGAATCAAGTTCATTTGGGCATGTTCATCATTCGTTTGTCTATTTATTTATTTCAGGGTAAGGTACAATTTGTGTCTGAAGATGCACTCCACCAACTCCATAGATTCATATTTGTGTTAGCCCTTTCTCACGTGGTCTACTGTATTACCACCTTGGCTTTGGGTAGACTCAAGGTATTTCCTTTAGCTTGCAACAATTTTTTTTTTTTGGTTAATAGTCGGAGATGTCTAGGTCAATTTAGACACACATCGACTAAACAGACTATCCACGAGATTAAAATATTTACGATAAATAAATCTCTCGTAGACTATCCAAGGAGTTGCCANTTTGGGTAGACTCAAGGTATTTCCTTTAGCTTGCAACAATTTTTTTTTTTTGGTTAACAGTCGGAGATGTCTAGGTAAATTTAGACACACATCGACTAAACAGACTATCCACGAGATTAAAATATTTACGATAAATAAATCTCTTGTAGACTATTCAAGGAGTTGCCATCNACATCGACTAAACAGACTATCCACGAGATTAAAATATTTACGATAAATAAATCTCTCGTAGACTATCCAAGGAGTTGCCATCTCTCTCTCTCTCTCTCTCTCTCTCTCTAATTTGTTGTTGTCTGAATGCAGATGAGGAAATGGAAGGCCTGGGAGGATGAAACAAAGACAATTGAGTACCAGTACTACAATGGTTAGTGTAAACCATTATAATCACATCAAAAAATAAAATCAGATTAACTACTATTTTGCAAAAGTAATTTACATAGATAATATTCTTACATATGCATTCATTTTTGTAATTTTATACATGCCATTAAGTTTGAGAAAGAGAAAGGACTTTTGGACAAGAAAAGACACAAGAAAAAAAGAAACAATATGAAATAATTTTTTTTTAAAGTAATAAAAAACCCAAAATAATACAAAAAATAGTTTGAAAAACATTATCAAACAATACCTAACACGATTTCAATATATTGACTTATTGCAGATCCTGAGAGGTTCAGGTTTGCTAGGGAGACATCGTTCGGACGTCGGCATTTGAGTTTCTGGAGCAAGTCACCAATTCTCCTTTGGATTGTAAGAGCTTTTAACTTGATTTTGTTCTATATCTTGTGTATCTAATGTTACTCTTCCAAATTATTATTATTTTTTGTAAAAAAATATGTAAAAATTTTCAACTTGCACCAAATCCACTACAAAAAAGACTAGTTTATTGCGATGACTTCCTGTGACGAATAAGAAAAACATATAGCCAAAAAAAGACATTCCACTACCAACATTATGCTTGGTTGGATGAAGAAACTTATCTTTTTTCTTTACCTTTTTTAATTGTTTTGTTCAATTTGTGAAACTTTAGGTATGTTTCTTCAGGCAATTGCTTACGTCAGTCAAAAAAGTTGATTATCTCACCCTGAGACATGGTTTTATCACTGTAAGTCACATACACATATCCATTGAATTATACTTTTTTTTTTGTTCGTATGTAACAATGGATCACTATTAAAATACCAACTATCGTTTGATTTCAGGCACATTTAGCACCTCAAAGTCAGGTGGTGTTTGATTTCCAGAAATACATCAGTAGATCACTTGAAGAGGATTTCGCAGTTGTTGTGGGGATCAGGTTGGTTTTATTTTTTTATTTTTTTTTTGTGCAAATGAATTTGATCCATTCTATGGGAATGGGTTGACTATTTATCTTAAACTTGTTTTCTTGTATGTGCAGCCCTATATTATGGCTTTTTTCAATGGTGTTCATCGTGTCCAACACGCATGGTAAGCAAGAAAAGAATAGTCTTTAACTCGAAGGAGTTGTCTACGATACCAAAAATAAAAAAAATTGGTATCGTATTGATATTTATTATATTAATGAGTATGTTTATTATTTTANATGGTGTTCATCGTGTCCAACACGCATGGTAAGCAAGAAAAGAATAGTCTTTAACTCAAAGGAGTTGTCTACGATACCAAAAATAAAAAAAATTGGTATCGTATTGATATTTATTATATTAATGAGTATGTGTTTATCATTTTTTNTCTTTAACTCGAAGGAGTTGTCTACGATACCAAAAATAAAAAAAATTGGTATCGTATTGATATTTATTATATTAATGAGTATGTTTATTATTTTATTTTATTTTTTTTTTGATTTCGAAGAAAAGTAGTAAAAATAATTATCACAATAATAATAAAAACATCCACAATAATAATAAAAATATCTATTGAAATAATAAATCACCCACAAAAGTGATAAAAAAAAATTTTGATTATAAAATAACCCACAAAAATTATAAAAACACTCATATAAATAATAAATTTTAGAGGCAGGATGTCAAATTTTTTCGTTCGTTACGCTACTCAATTCCCTCAAGGAGTCTTTCAATGTTAGTCATTAGTCACATAGAAGATACGATAAAATCTAAAAAAAAAAAATTCATGTACCCTAAAATATATTTTATATTATTATTATTCTACAATGATTCAGNGAGGCAGGATGTCAAATTTTTTCGTTCGTTACGCTACTCAATTCCCTCAAGGAGTCTATCAATGTTAGTCATTAGTCACATAGAAGCAGTATTATAGATACGATAAAATCTAAAAAATAAAAATTCATGTACCCTAAAATATATTTTATATTATTATTATTCTACAATGATTCAGTAATTGTAATTTTACCTAAATTATTTAAATACAATATTGAAAAAAAAATGCAAATCTCACTTCCAAAAAATATTGATAGTCTCGTCAAAATATATTATTCGAAAACTATTTTGGGAAGAATTGAAGAAAAGTGTGTTTTGGTATTTTTTGTATCGCATAACTTATTTAGTTATATGATTTCAAAAACAGTTTTACGGAATAAAAAACAGCAAAATTTGTTTAAATAGTAATCCAAGTTAGTTATAAAAACAAAAATGTAGTGGTGGTGCCGGTGGAATTGTAGTGGTGGTTGANGAAGAAAAGTGTGTTTTGGTATTTTTTGTATCGCATAACTTATTTAGTTATATGATTCAAAAAGTAGTTTTACGGAATAAAAAACAGCAAAATTTGTTTAAATAGTAACCCAAGTTAGTTATAAAAACAAAAATGTAGTGGTGGTGCCGGTGGAATTGTAGTGGTGGTTGTGGAAATATGGTGGTGTTTTTTAAATTCTGGAAAGTTTATTTCAAAAACACACAAAATAGTCTTTATTTGTTTTTAAATTCTACCCGTTTTTTGTTCTTAGTTTTCAAAAAACAAAAACAAAAACAACTGGCCAAACGCTGCACTATTGGACCTTAAAATCGTGATTTTGAATCTCGCTCCCCGACGACAACNTCTGGAAAGTTTATTTCAAAAACACACAAAATAGTCTTTATTTGTTTTTAAATTCTACCCGTTTTTTGTTCTTAGTTTTCAAAAAACAAAAACAAAAACAACTGGCCAAACGCTGCACTATTGAACCTTAAAATCGTGAGTTTGAATCTCGCTCCCCGACAACAAAAAAAAATTATTACAAAATTCTAGTGTGAGTCAGTTTTACTCAACCATATGCATGACTGAAAATATGCTCTTTCTCTGATTTCTTGATGAACAGAATGGTACTCGCATTTTTGGCTGCCATTTATTCCTTTGATTGTAAGTAAATAAACCCTACCTGTATCTATATATTCCCAGTATTTTTCTATATATACAGTTAAGTTATTTCTTTGGAGGATACACATAGGAGAGTTGTTGTTTAATGAATGGTGGTTATCTTTCAGGCACTCCTGTTGGTGGGGGCGAAACTGCAGGTGATAATAACAAAGATGGGACTCAGAATTCAAGCCAGAGGAGAAGTTGTGAAGGGTACACCGGTAGTTGAGCCAGGGGATGACCTCTTCTGGTTCAACCGTCCTCGTCTCATTCTCTTCTTGATTCACTTTGTACTCTTTCAGGTACTTACTTCTATGTTTCATTCATATATGTCTACAAGTCTAGTAGCGTATTTGGTTCGGGTACAACATAGAATGAATTGAATAATTGGATATCAGCATAGTCCGTCTTGTTGAAATTAACCATTTTTACCATTTTATCTTATTCCATTATTTATATGACGTGTTGGGTTCAATGTGGAGATAGGATCATAACCATAGTATACGGGTTGAAGATTAATGTATGGTATTAAGTTTAAAAAGAACAAAAACACCCTTGTATCTAACGTTATTTAAATCCAAAATTAGAGGTACCCTTATCAGTTTGAATCCTATAGTATTGATTAGAATTCAATTTATAATAATTAGGTTTGGTTTGTACCGTACATGTGGTGTTATTTGCACTCTAGCAAGCAAGCTATCACTACTAAGTCATGTATGTTATGAGACCAGACCATATAACAAAATTCAAACATGGTATTAGATTTCATGGAACAAATTTAGTTCGATCCTACCCTTGATACCCAAACCATGCCTAAAATATATATGCATCATACTTTCATCAATAATATCATGGTGTATCCCAAGCTTAAGCTGTCTTGATTGTTCTTTCTTTTCTTTTTTTTTGGGTTAGTTGTCTTGATTGTTCTTGCTTTGCTTTGCAGAATGCATTCCAGCTCGCCTTCTTTGTGTGGAGTTGGGTAAGCAGTTCTATTTAATTGGTCCATTGTACCCTAATGATTCATCAATTCAACCTTTTTTTTTAGTAATGCTATTGACACTTAATTTATTGATCTAATTTATTGTAGTCATTAGATTAATTGTGGATCCCATCAAACATTAAAATTTGGTATCAATCCAAAAGTTACAATAAAGTCGTATCATTATATTAGTAAATTATATCCCAGTAGCATTACTCTTTTTTTTTTTGACCTAATTTTGACCCAAGTTTTGTTTGCTTTGCTGTTTGTTGTTTGTTGTCTTCTTTTTTCTTTTTTTTCCCAGTATGAATTTGGCTTGCGGTCTTGCTTCCACGAGACCAAAGAAGATATAGCCATCAGGCTCTCAATGGGGTGAGTTTCATTAATGCACAAACACATGCTTGAATTAATGTTTGGCAATGTTCCATATGCACAACAAAAGTTATTTAGTAAGTGGTCTAATATGTTATAACTACCAATAACCCCGTGACTGAAAACACTATATAATATCAAAAATCGAATTAATCTTGTAATATTTACAGTTTAAATAATAATTTAATTTTTTTAATTACGCAATTTAAAATTAAAATGAAGAGAGAGGTATGTGTGGATTGATGTGATTNGCTTAAGCTGTCTTGATTGTTCTTTCTTTTCTTTTTTTTTGGGTTAGTTGTCTTGATTGTTCTTGCTTTGCTTTGCAGAATGCATTCCAGCTCGCCTTCTTTGTGTGGAGTTGGGTAAGCAGTTCTATTTAATTGGTCCATTGTACCCTAATGATTCATCAATTCAACCTTTTTTTTTAGTAATGCTATTGACACTTAATTTATTGATCTAATTTATTGTAGTCATTAGATTAAATGTGGGTCCCATCAAATATTAAAATTTGGTATCAATTCAAAAGTTACAATAAAGTCGTATCATTATGTTAGTTAATTATGTCCCAGTAGCATTACTCTTTTTTTTTTTTGACCTAAGTTTTGTTTGCTTTGCTGTTTGTTGTTTGTTGTCTTTTTTTTCCCAGTATGAATTTGGCTTGCGGTCTTGCTTCCACGAGACCAAAGAAGATATAGCCATCAGGCTCTCAATGGGGTGAGTTTCATTAATGCACAAACACATGCTTGAATTAATGTTTGGCAATGTTCCATATGCACAACAAAAGTTATTTAGTAAGTGGTCTAATATGTTATAACTACCAATAACCCCGTGACTGAAAACACTATATAATATCAAAAATCGAATTAATCTTGTAATATTTACAGTTTAAATAATAATTTAATTTTTTTAATTACGCAATTTAAAATTAAAATGAAGAGAGAGGTATGTGTGGATTGATGTGATTGTTTGACATTAGAGACTGTATTAATAAGTTGTTTGGCGTTGGGGGTCATGCAAATAAATTAGTGTTTTTAGACCGGAAAAAAATTTTAGGATGAATTTTATACTATTTGATTAAAGTAAATTAAGATTAGATCAATATTGACCGTTGTTATGTTTTTATAAGTTAAGAATTCAACTTCTTAAGTGGAATATTAGATAGATTATTAATTTTTTTTTTGAAAATTCAGTTTTTTCCCTAGTATGTTACAATCTTGGTCTTGTTTGCAGGGTCATCATACAGTTTGTGTGCAGCTATGTGACTCTCCCCCTCTATGCCTTAGTGACACAGGTTTTGCAGCTATCTTACTCTTCTTCTCTAAGACTTAATTATCCCTTAGTTTGGGAAGTATAAAACACATCTGAATCCCCTCTTGTATACTCTCTTTCAACTTTTCTCAATGGTAAATCACTCTCCATGTATCGGTAAGGGACTCACGGATATGTAATAGACCTTAATTAAATACGTGACAGATGATAACGATTGAGATAAAGTGTACCAGAGGGAGGGATCCAAGTTCAACATATTGTTACATAAGCAAGCTAAAATATAGCAGAACTTAGCATTAATCACTTAATTTTGCAGATGGGATCAACCATGAAACCCACCATCTTCAGTGAGCAAGTGGCGACGGGGCTGAAGAACTGGCGCCACAACGCAAAAATCCACGCAAAATCTGGCCAGCTCTCGGAGAATACAACACCATTGTCGAGTAGAACTGCATCTCCACTTCATGGCATGTCCCCATTTCCTCTATTGCAGAACTACCAAAACAATGCTGTTGACAGCCTTGACATATCAGCAAGGACATCAGGCTTCGAAAATGAAGGCGGAGGAGCTGAGGAGTCGCCTTCCCCAAGCAACCACGATATTGAAAGCTCTACAAGAAATGCATATAATGATCAACAAGAGATAGAAATACACGAACCAATCTCAACGCAACAGGCTCAGGCAACATGGTCCAGTCACACCCGACACGAAACTGAGATCAGCTTAACAGATTTTTCATTCATCAACAAGGAATAATATGTGCTTAAGCGGATGGATCATTGCCAACTTTGCCAACCTTTCATGTGTATATTGGTATACGAGACAAAGGCAAGATTGATTGCACAGATAGGCTTTGAATGATGAGACCAGCACAATTGAATTTTGTAGAAACAAGTGATAAATTATTGAGTAATACTACTTGGACTTAAAAATCTGATATAATTTGCGGACATAATGGTGTGACTTATAGGAATCATTGGATCAACACCAAGTTCCAATGTTTAATGGGGTCGATAGTGAATTAAGTCAGCAAATTATTGTCAGTAAATTAAGTTCCAATAGCATTGCTCATTACCCATCTAGATCTGTTCGTTTTTTGATGCNAAACTGAGATCAGCTTAACAGATTTTTCATTCATCAACAAGGAATAATATGTGCTTAGGCGGATGGATCATTGCCAACTTTGCCAACCTTTCATGTGTATATTGGTATACAAGACAAAGGCAAGATTGATTGCACAGATAGGCTTTGAATGATGAGACCAGCACAATTGATTTTTGTAGAAACAAGTGATAAATTATTGAGTAATACTACTTGGACTTAAAAATCTGACATAATTTGCGGACATAATGGTGTGACTTCATAGGAATCATTGGATCAACACCAAGTTCCAATGTTTAATGGGGTCGATAGTGAATTAAGTCAGTAAATTATTGTCAGTAATTAAGTTCTAATAGCATTGCTCATTACCCATCTAGATCTGTTCGTTTTTTGATGAGATTTGTTCATTATATACAAAATTGCATTGTATATGGATTCGTTTTCTGTGAATTAAAGGGTAAGACTCTTGAGAATTAGGTCCATTCTAGAGAGTTTGAGGCTAACTAAGGTTTGAGCGTTACTTTATATGTACAAATGTCTGTCATTTGGGGGACTTATATATAACTATTAATCANTTGAGGCTAACTAAGGTGTGAATTAAAGGGTAAGACTCTTGAGAATTAGGTCCATTCTAGAGAGTTTGAGGCTAACTAAGGTTTGAGCGTTATATGTACAAATGCCATCATTTGGGAGACTTATATATAACTATTAATCAAGCCGAGCTACTTGAGTTTAAATCGAGTAAGACTCAATTCGAGCTCGACTTGTGTTTTAAACAAATTGAGATTAAACAATTTTTTAAATTCATTTTTGATTCAAACTTGAAAAACTAAACTCATTTATATATAAAATAATCAAACTACTTGAGTTTGACTTAACTCAAGCTTGACTTATTTTCTAAACAAGTTACTTANAGCCGAGCTACTTGAGTTTAAATCGAGTAAGACTCAATTCGAGCTCGACTTGTGTTTTAAACAAATTGAGATTAAACAATTTTTTAAATTCAGTTTTGATTCAAACTTGAAAAACTAAGCTCGTTTATATATAAAATAATCAAACTACTTGAGTTTGACTTAACTCAAGCTTGTCTTATTTTCTAAACAAGTTGAACTTAAATAATTTTTTATGTTCGTTTAAAAAACAAATTCAACAAGCTCGACTTGCTTAACAACCTTTACATTATAAGTTCATATAACCTACACGTGGTACAAAAGAAGTTGTGTACAGTGCGCCCCCCAACCCCTTCGGCAGGAAGGGGGGGGGGGGGGGGTTGGGTTACTAGGGATGAACAATATAAAAATCAAGTGTTTTTCAACAAATAATGGGAGTAAGTCCACCCATTAAGAGAAATGTACAATATTTACAAACAATGTGCGTGATTACACCCATTACGAGAAGTGTCTTGTATATATAACATCTACAATAACAGGAAAAAGAGCTTGCGATCAAAGTTGGTTTCAGTTATTCCTGCTTTGAAGAGTCTGAAAGAGCAACAGCCTTGCATATGGGGCAGACATTCTTCACCAACAACCACTTCCTGATACAGCCCACATGGTACTCATGCCCACAATTCTTCAAAGTTCCAACCGCCTCTTCATTCTTGTACTCTTCCTGTCAATGGCATTAGCAAAACGGCACATTAGTTGCTGCAGATAATGAACTTTCTGAAGATCCAAAGAGTCTTTACTCAGTTTCGTGGCTGTTAATCGAGAATGCTGGGAGGGATGCATCAAGTATAGACCTAACTTTTGACATAGCATACACAAAGTGACTGCTCTCCACAACCTTTCAGTTGTTATCCCGATGAATTTTATCACTGGACTAGTTTCTTATAATTGATACAAGGAAATTAGAAAAAAAGCTAAAAGGCCAACAAAAAAAACCCGCCTCAGTCAGGAAAATACAAAATTAGTTTAATAACAATGGTTATCTTTGATGGCACAATTGTTCAGCAATACCCCAATGGAGGGTCTCCAAATACCCTATATTCCAGGCTAATTGGGTCATCTTCATTTGCAATTAACTTGTGGATTTCTCAATGCACTAATCAAATGCGTGTTTTTTATCACAATGGTCATTTGCATGTCATCTATAATATGCATCTCACTTCGACGAGTCCCACCCCTTGCCTTTGCCTCAGGAGACCTTAGCCCCTTGTAACTTAAAGAACACTAGTAATAGGGTTATAAGTAGGTTTCTAAAGAATAAGAATGTAATTTGCAACTAGACCAAACCACAGAGGTAACCCTTAATTTGCAAAGAATAAGAATGTATAGCACATTTTCTAATTTTTTTTATCATCAAACTCATCCAACCAAGTGAGTCTACAAGAACAACACCCGTCCATGTGACCAATATTCCCTGTTTCGGTACTAAATTTCTCACTATTGAACTTTTTAATACACTACAGAAAGTACCCTCCATCTAAGCAGAAAATTTTGAAAACGTAAACAGAGGCATAGATTTATTTAGAAACGAAGAAAGATTATAGGGTATTTTTGAATGGATGAGGAGAGCCATGACCCCTTTTGGCCTCCAAGTAGCTTCATCACTCACACTCCACTCCACATCTTCCCTCGGCACCTTGGTTATACACAATATTCTAAAGACATTTATCATAAATGTATATATGTACGGGTGTGTGTGCATATACATATATGTAATATATATCGACATACTTATATATATATATATATATAGAGAGAGAGAGAGAGAGAGAAGAGGGAGGGATGAGCTCGAAAGGGGGAGGGGTGACTAGGAAGGGGGATTGCGGGTTTCGGCTGGTCTGAGTGATGGGTACAACTCAGTTTGGAGTAGCGGTACAACTAGGTTTTGATTGAGGGTGTTGGTTGGGAAGAGAGAGAGCAAAAATCCACTGACAATATCATCATTCCAATTGAAAGTGGATCCTGATAGAACAATTGTGATGCATGAGTAGCATGACCCAAAAATGGGAAAAACCTAAGATTCATTTGTAATGAACACAAGAACAAGAGAAATGACAACGTGAATCTGGAACTTAGAAGGACTTCCTTTGGCCCTAGGTTCCTCACACCCTATTCTTTCTCTTGATGGATGTACAAAGTACAAACTTTCCCTTTCTGTTTTTTTTCCAATCAATAAGTATGTCTTCCTAATACGGTAATTTGTTGGCCATCACTTAACTAACCTTCTATTACTCATTTTCTAACTGAAACCAATCAAAGATCTTTCCTTGTTGCTTATTTGCAACATACTAAGGTAACAAATTGTTAAAATATACCACATACATGTCATATTTTTATTGGTTATCTCATGTTATCTTTTATATCTGCAAAAGGAATGGGAGGCTTATGTTAACCACAGATGCAGTAAATTCCCTTCAGTTAAATATGCAGGGCACAGATTATATCTTACAAGGCAGATAGCACAGGTTCCTTCCTCGTGGTGTTGATCTGGAAAATGGTACACTGTTTCCCTCAAACAGTTCGAAATCATACTTTCAGACAAGCCTGTGTTGACATTCCCCATCCTCTCCCCAAGTGCAAGAAGTTCCTGCCCAATCCAATAATTAGACATTCAATGGAAATTGGAAAAGATCATAGGAGAACAAAAAAAGCAATGTTAACCACCTCATAATCCATGTTGTCAATGTCTAGCCTCATGTCTAGATATTCATCAAATTGGGGACCACTATAGAAAGGTGAGTGATCCACCATCATGAGAGCCTGCATGGATAAAAAAAGTTCCAAATCAACTGCAGATTACATATTAAAAAGTCAAATTAAACTGCAGCACATCCAATTCCGAATGAAACTCAGGCTAAGCAGAAATGAAGTTCTCGATGAGTACTGAAGTTAGTTGGTATTTAGCAGGCCAAAGCCATTAGATATGGCTAGCTCAGTTTCAAAGCATCCTCCAAGAATTAGCTTCCGCCAACTAGCAAAGTGAAGACCACAAACTGAAGAGGTTATACAGATGGCGAGAAAACTCATAACACCAAGATAGTCCTAAGATGCTTTTTGCTGAAGAAGCACAACTGTGCTAAGGTCTAACTGTCACTTAAGCCTCCTTAAATACATTCATATTTATTCAAGTGCTTACTTTAGGAAGGGGAAAGTGAGATAAAAAGGTGATAACTGATAACAGTTTTCCAGACCAGAACAATACAAGGATTCATCCCCACACATTCCAATAAATGGTCCCAAGCAGGACCATAGATACCTGGTCATGGATATCCCAAGAATCGTGATGGCACAACCCAAAACAGAGTAGGTTCGCGGTCAAGGCCGCTCAAATACTCAATCCCAAATAATAACACAAATCCCCAAATTGACTCACAACTTAGAATTCACAAATTATAATTTCAACCTCAAATTGTAACCCTAACATGTTATTCCTTTATTTTGGTGATCTTTAAACACATTTAGATTTGTTCCAATATGAAATTTTCTCGCATTTCAACTATGCAAACACTAACTTTTATTATTTACAACCACTAGCTGTTACATTGCCTTGGATTGTGGTTCACTTCAAAGCTCTTATCAGAAAAATAAAATGAATATTAGTTACAAGTGTATATGAATGTATAATAATCCTATCCCCATCGTACTACGTATCAAAAAAGGCATCGTACCGCATACCCGTACCCGCACCACGTGTCAAACTGACCTGCGATCTAGGTTTCAAATGTGTAGGGACATGCTTATCATAATTGACAAGTTTGCACATTAGACACCTATTAGCACCACCATGGCTATGACTTCTGAGGGCACCAAATCTGACAATCCAATGCACGTTGAACCNAGGGACATGCTTATCATAATTGACAAGTTTGCACATTAGACACCTATTAGCACCACCGTGGCTATGACTTCTGAGGGCACCAAATCTGACAATCCAATGCACGTTGAACCCAAAACCCTTCAACACTATCCTTGTCGTATAGCTTATGAACTCATTTCCTGTCTAAGCATGCATAGAAATGCAGAAGTAAGACAGTACTGCAATTCCCATTAAAAAAAACCCTGTAATTGGATCCTAATATTCAGGGTCTCTTCAGCCCCAAAAACAGTGGACACCAAACAGGTTAGCTAAATCTTGCTTTCTTAATTTCAGCAGTAGTCAAACAATGGAAAGGAAAATTACATACCTCAGATCGTAGTCTATCATGCGCATCCACCAAACTAGGTATTGACTGGAATCTCTCAGTAGCTATCCTTTGCCGTCCATTATTGTAACTGTTATGCCATCCTCCAGCAGAACATGGCCTTGAATGTCTGGAAGAAGAAGTTTCTGAGAGTGAATGCAGCCCATTGTCTGAAAAAGCAGCTGGGTGTCCTGCATGGGAGTAGCTTGGACCGGCCCTATATGAAGGAATAACTCTCCTAGAATAATTGATGTGGCCATCCGTTGCAGTCTGCACAATGGGGGCATGAACATATTGTGAAGAGGAAACAGGGTGTCTGCTTGGAATGGAATCCTGGTGGTAGCCACGAATCTCGGCCGTGCTTCCCCCCACAAGAAAAGGATTTGTCTCGTGGCTTAATCTGCCCATATCTGCAATTTCGTCAAATCGCTCGGCTTTGTTAAAAATGGTTAAAACAATTTAAGGTGGGGAAAAAAGTAAACATAGTTCACACTAACCAGAAGTTGGAATCCTTCCGCAAGCAGCAGCAGAGAAAGGAATACCATTCCATTCACGAGTGGTGGCCTCAGCATTCAAATTACCAAGGTCTACTGTGCCAGAATGGTTGGTTGGATGCGTTGTTGAATCATAATGACCAGAAGAATAACTTGATATATGAGTTCTCACAGTGCTGGGTTCAAAATCAAGCCTAGACCGACTTCTCACATTCCTTATCAAAAGGCTACTACCCCTGTATTGAGGTATGCCAAGAGGACCAGAAGGGATGATATGACAATCTGAAGTTGGCTGCTCTGGCAGCATCTGAGATGAGCCAGAGGAACTTCCTGGACCATAAAATCTGATACTGCTGGCTCTCTCAAAAGGTCCAGAAATGGCAGGGCTTTTTCTTTTAAATTGCCCCCTTCCAGCGCTCATTGTAGAGTCTATTAGACCACCTTCAATTTCAGGCATAACTTGTCTATTGTAGTAACTAACATGTGCATGGCCAGCATTATTTTCTGGGGCCAGATACATGTTCCCAGGGACTGTTGAGTGTGAGAAGGGATTAAAAGTGGGACCTGAAATAGCTGGTTGGAAATGTGGTGCTTCCATGCTGAAACCAGCGGACGGATACTCACGTGATCTGTCTTCTGAATTCCACTGAGAATTATTGCATACTCCTCCCCTTAACATAGTATTCACCGGATAAAAAAGAGAACCATTTTCTGGTTCAACAGCCCTCCCTGACATAAAATTTCAGAATAAAAAAACTATAGTCAGAAAAAATTTCAAATGCAGTTGGGATAATTCTAGCCTTTTTAAGTTGTCATTAGCAAATTATGACATATAACTATATAAGTAACACTAATCATTAAAAAAATTAACGCCAAAAGTTACTAATAGAGATCACCCCCTCCCAAAAAAGTAAAGGAAAAAGGGTAAAAAGAATCCAACTTTAGTAACCCAGAATTCTTATAGTTTCAAGATAATCACCCTCAAACTATCTGTAAGAGTTGCTCATATATGAGAGAAAGGATGTAATACTTTTCTTCTTTCACTTCCTCTTTTTTCCTTTCCCCACTATGTTCCAAAGGACCCCTCAATGAACGAATAAAAATGTTAAAAACATTCAAAGATCCAGTACCCATAGAAATATATGACTGCTCCGCAGACAAATGATTTTGGTCCCGAGTCTCTTGACCTTGGTTGATCCCAAACACATTGAAAGAGCTTGAAAATTGTCTATCCCCCATGGTTTCCTCAAACCTGAAGATGAATGGAGCTATGGAATCAGAACAGATTGGTTACATCAACCTGCATAACAGGCAAAGTTCATAAACAGTACAGAAGAGTGTGGCAATAGAAGATAAAAACAAGCATTTCTACCAAGTGGCTTCAAAGGAGTGCCTTCCACCGCGAATACAATGCCCATAGCCTAAAACAATTCTCCTAAAATTCACACATTTCTAAAATATTTCAACAAGTATTCTACATTATCAGCCATGATCAAGACCATGAGCCTTTAAACCAGATCCTTTGAATACCAGACACCCACTAGCATGTAATGAATCCCACAATCATAACTGTGATACACAGAATGGGTCAAGACTGATAGCTCACCTGCCTCGGGGCATGGATGCTTTTAACAATTATATCTGCAGAGGAAAATGAGTGATGAAACTACTCAGACTCTAAAGTTCTATCTTCCACAACTCCAGTCTCCAGACTTTAAACCACTCGAGATTTTTTCATANGGCTCCCAAAAAACTGAGTTAGTCTTTTTCATCAAAACCCTTGAACACACGGCTCATTTTTAGAGTAGAAGAATATACAGTTAACACAAATCAGATCTGTACTGCCACTTAATCTTTGTTGGTGTCAAGACTATGGAACTTCTAAACAAATGTACACCTATGACAAAGCAGAATTGTAAGTTCACTAGTTATAATATTGGGATTGGCTCAACGGTATGTTTTCAATTCCAAAAAGATGTCACATGATCAAAGTTGCCAACCTCTAGAGGCTATCCCCCAGTGTATACCCGGAATTACAAGCTACAAGTGGGACCGAGAGACTGAATGTCACCGGTAGGATTTTGTGGCTGCTCTAAGGGGAACCGATAGCCTGTGCCACAGGCTATGAAGTGATAAAAAAAATACAATTGCTTCAAGGCCTTGTCCTTCCACATGTCAAATGGTTACTACATAAAAAGATGGTGTCTAGTTCAACAAAAGGCTAGAATTTGACAAATTGACACAACCAGCATAATCAACATTTCATGTCACCATCAACATTTTCTTCTTAAATCTCAGGTCTACATGCCTAAACAAGGGAATTGTAAATAAAAAAAATGGAGATAATGGGAGATTCCCTGGCAATTACTGGCCATAACAAATGATTGATAAATCCAAAAAAGTACAAAAAGACAAAATACAGATTCTACAATCTGTAACTATCCACAAAAGAGGATTGCATATATTTAGAAACAAGTAATCATGAAAGAGGATAAGCAGCCTTCTTCTAAAAAGTTGTGCCACCTGTATCTCTTTTAAACTAAAATTTAGAAATAGGCCATAACCCATGGCCCATGAAAACTTTCCATCTTTTTCCTGCTGGCAGAGAAACAAATCCACTTTGTGAGTTCAAATTAGAGGAGAACAAAAACTTTTTCTCGAAACATATAAACTTCAAGTAATCTAAACCTCAAACCACTACTTGAACTGAAATCCACAATATTAAATTAGACCATGGATGACTACATTCCTACCTGATAATCAGACCAGGACATAATTTGCCTTCACTGCATGAAACATATCATCCTTCAGAAACATACCAAGACAAAATACACCAATGTTATTAAAGGAAATACCTCGTTTTCTGGGTAGTTAAACCTATTTGTTAATTGCCCTACACTNTAGCCTAAAACAATTCTCCTAAAATTCACACATTTCTAAAATATTTCAACAAGTATTCTACATTATCAGCCATGATCAAGACCATGAGCCTTTAAACCAGATCCTTTGAATACCAGACACCCACTAGCATGTAATGAATCCCACAATCATAACTGTGATACACAGAATGGGTCAAGACTGATAGCTCACCTGCCTCGGGGCATGGATGCTTTTAACAATTATATCTGCAGAGGAAAATGAGTGATGAAACTACTCAGACTCTAAAGTTCTATCTTCCACAACTCCAGTCTCCAGACTTTAAACCACTCGAGATTTTTTCATACATATTAGAATGTAGCAGTGCCTTACATAAAAAAATTTAAAACATTCAACAAAAAAGAAGGATGTTGGAGAAATGTGGAATTACCCGAGTACCCATAAAACCTTAGACAGCTTCACCTGATAACGAACACTTGTTATGACAGAGGAGCAAAAATTGTACAGTATTCATTAATTCTTGAGTTATACACCAAAGGATCAAAAAGTTCTGGAGAATGCTAACCCAAAGCCTGATGAAAAATAAGCAAGATCAATTTGACTGCTTTCCATAATCTTATCCCACTCGTGAGCGTACTATTGTGTGCTTATATTAGCTTGCCGACCAGTACAAAAATCTACAAGAGATTCTTCACGAAGACTAAGTTTCAAAATTTTTTGGATGATAGGAGAGAGGAATTTGATAATGGAACTCAGATGCAATAACAAGTAGGTAAAGGTTATTGCAGCAGCTTTGAAGTGAGAAAAAAAAAGCCAAAAACAATTTCTTTTGCCAACCAGAAATGAGGGGCCGGGTGATTCCTCGTCAACACACCCCACCATAAGAAGACCCAAAAAAAAGAAAAAAAAAAAAGAAGATAATATTACATGAGAGACCTCAGATAACTGGAGCCCTCCCCCTCTTCTCCCCCCCC